GCCTGGAAGAGACCCCCCCCCGAAATGGGACCCCCCTCCCTTCATTACGAGATCTGGAATACATTTTCCTATACTCTAACCTCCGCTCCCCCTCTGCTCCCCCAAGTACCCCCTCTATCTCTTTCAGGTGCTGCGGGGGGGCCGACCGCGGCCGCCCCGCCTTTCCACTCTCTCTCGGAGCCTGGGTCGCCTCTTGGACGGCCGGCTGCCTATTTTGAAGGGGCCCTGGGACACACAAATAAATACACACACGTAGAATTATTCCCCATATTTTCGCATATTTTCTGGGTTTCTGTCCTCCCCACCACTTCCCATAGTTTCCCATATTTCTGGGGGATCGACGATTAATTGTGTCTGTGTGTTTTTTCCCCTCCTGATATTTCAAGCGCGAGCTTCCTCACAGCCCCGACCGCTTCATCCAGAGCAACCTCAACCGTGAAGGAAGAAATCGAACCGCTGATAACAGTTCCTGCCGTGATCATCGGGGCCGCCACTGCACAGGACCCCTTGCAAACAACCGCCTCGATGCACCAAGCAGCTGCTGAGCAACTCCTGGCACGCGTGCCGCCTTCTGCTCGCACCAGGAAATTTGCATTCGCAAGATCCTCGGTGGAAAGTTGACAAGATTGAAACCAGGACCTGCGGCTTTCCATGGTATAGTTGACCAGGCAATCGGCTCACACATTACACGCCCGTTGTTGCCAGCAAACCATATCGTCGATGTCTCGATCCGGGCGCCAGTCGGACTGAAGCATGCTGAAGATGTTGTGGGTGATGCGCTCGAACATGGGAGCCAGACTAGGATCCGAAAGCACGGTCTCCCCGTTGATCACGCCGGCCAGCGGCCCCGCCTCCACCCCTTACCTGCCTCCGCGAGCAAGAGAGCTGGGCAGTGGATGGAGGCGGCGGGATTCCGTCGCCCCCCCCCCCGGCAGGAGCGCCCCAGATGACCTCCGCGCCGCCCCCCCCCCCCCCCCCTCGCCGTCTTCCTGCGCTCGATGCTCGGTCCCCGGGCTCGCCCTTTCTGCGGCCCCCCGTGTCGTCCCCTCTCCCCGTCCCGCCAACGGCCGGGCCAAGCCGTTGTCCCGAATGCCCCCGCCCCGGCCACCTCGATGGTGCATGCGGTTGCACCTTCGGGATGGCAAAAGCCGCCAGCGGCCCTGAGCGAGGAGGAGGAGGAGGAGGAGGAGGAGGAGGAGGAGGAGGAGGAGGAGGAGGAGGAGGAGGAGGAGGAGAAGAAGAAAGAGGAGAAAGAGGAGAAAGAGGAGAAAAAGGATAACGAGGAGAACGAGGAGAACGAGGAGAACGAGGAGAAAGAGGAGAAAACGAGGAGAACGAGGAGAACGAGGAGAAAGAGGAGAACGAGGAGAACGAGGAGAAAGAGGATAACGAGGAGAAAGAGGAGAAAGAGGAGAACGAGGAGGAAGAGGAGAACGAGGAGAAGGGGAAAGGCGAGGCGAGCGAGCGCGCAGCGTCGGTCCCGACGGACCGGCCCTGCGAGGGCCGCGCGGGGGGCGGGCCGGGGCCTGGGAGGGGCCCGTGCCGCCGCAGAAGCGGGCTCTGTCCGGAGTTGGGGCGGCGGGGGCCGGAGCCCGAGAGGTGGGAGCCAGAGGGGAGGGAAGGGCTCGCCAAGATGCCCCTCCTCCTCCTCCTCCTCCTCCTCCTCCTGCTCCTCTTCCTCCTCCTCCGCCTTGCCCACCGTCTCCTCCTTCCTCCTCTTCGCCCTCCTCCTCCTTCGTTTCCTCCTCCTCCTTCTCCTCCACCCTCCCCCTCTTGGGGCTTCGGACGGCTACCCCCGCCCTCTGTTCTTCTGCATGCTCCCCCAGTTCCCTGATCACCTCAACTCCCCTGGGCATCGTTTCTGGATGGGCTGGTGGGGATACTTTCTCTGTATATATATAAAAATGTATTCTATATATATAATAATAAAAACAAGAGAGAGAGAGAAAAAAACAAAAACAAAAAATAAACAAAACAAAACAAAACAAAAAAAAAACGCAGGCGGAAGCGCCGGCGGCGGCGGGTCACGGTCGGGCTGCGGCCGTGACGAATTACCCGGGCGCGCGCGGGGGCCGCGGATCAGGCGGCGGTGCAAACTGCAGCCCAGGGAGTCTGAGGGGTCAGCCACCCAGGAAGCAGGGCGGACGGGCGGACGCAGCCAAAAAGGCGCGCCGCACATCCCCAGTCATGGATCGTGTCGGTCCGGCAATCGCATGGTAGTGGGAATCAGTCTCCGTGCAAGAGGGGTGTCAGAGAGCCCAGGGTGTCTGTCGGGTATGAGCGGACCGAAGGCGTAGAGCTGACGTCGTCCAGCAGGGAGAGGAATTTCTGACAGCGCCAGCGAACCGTCGCAGCTTCAGAAAACGCATCCGGCGGCTGACAGGGTACGCCTGAAGTCATAGACAACCGGAGTCAACCTCAGAACAACTGCGGAGGGATGCGTCTGCACGCGTGAGATCAACGACATGATGTGACGCAGTGCAGGGGTACACCTGCACCCGACCTGGAGAGAGACACACGGTCAATCGAGAGTGACGGGGCGTGTACCAGGAAGCAACTAAGTGACAAACAGCGGCTCTCCACCCACGCAGAGGGGCCAGTAAGAGGAGAGCGCTCAGAGAAAGCTACGCTGCCGCGTACCCACTGCAGTACAAGCAATCCGTAGTCACGAAGTACCAGGGAGTGATCGCTCAACCAGGTTGAGCGTGGGAGCGACGATGGGGAGACGTCAGTGCGCACCGACCCTCGCGGCGAGCGGTGCACCACTAGCCACTGAATAGCACACCATGGCCAACCGCTGCAAGACTGTGAAGTCATGTGCGGGAGCACGTCTGTGGGGATACTCGAAGCGTCAACAAGTGTTGGTAATGTGCTTCGACGCTTTCTGGACCTCTGGAAACTCCTGGAAGCCTACGGAAGTCTCTGGGGACACCCCCATGACCACCAGACTGAGGGGCAACGTTATGGGGGACCGGCTCAGGGGGGGATAATCATCGACCTGAAATCGGCGATACATCGCCGATAAATCGGCGATAGGCCCACGACAGCGAATCCACGTTCCTGGACGGGGGAGCGGCTATCAGGCCCCTGTCGGCGATGAGTGGGCCATTGGGGATGCATATACTTCCCCCCGTGAGCAGATCCCCCCCCAAGTTGATGGGCCTGTTTTCCACCACCACCACCACCACCAGAAGTTGGAGGGGGGAAGGAGGTGGAGGACGAGGAGGAGGAGGACGACGAGGTGGAGGAGGAGGAGGACCCCCTCCCCTTGCAACTTACGGTGTTGGTGGTGGAAAACAGGCCCATCAAACGTTGCCCCTGAGAGACCGCTTCGCCAGAGAACCGTCTCGTAACTACCTATCAGACCACCCCAACCCAGCCCGAATTTGGCCCGAATCTCGGGTGGGGGGGGAGGTACGGGCTCCACGTGTTTCTTCAGTGTCCCCCGACCCCCCCCCCACTGGAAGTGGAGGGCAAATTGAGGCCTTCGGATTGGTTTGGGGTGATTTGGTGGGTGGTAATCTCTGAAGGGGAACTGGGACACACACAAATCAATACACACACAAATAGAAGGATTCCCCGTATGTTCGCATATCTTCTGGCTTTTTGTCCCCCCCCCTCCCACTCCCCATAGTTTCCCATATTTTCCGGGGAATCGACGACTCATTGTGTCTGTGTTTTTTTCCCCTTCTGAATCCCGCCCCGCACCGCTCCGCCAGGGACCGCTTCGCCAGCGGCTCCCCTCGCAAAGAGGCGTCCTCCTCCTACCTTTCCTCCTTCTCCCTCCTCATCCTCCTTTTCCTCTCCCTCTCCTCCTCCTCGCCGAATCCTCCTCCTCGCCTTTTTCCTCCTCCTCCTCCTCCTATTCCTCCTCCTCCTCCTCCTCCTCCTCCTCCTCCTCCTCCTATTCCTCCTCCTTCTGCTGCTCCTCATGTCGTCATCGTCGCCGCCCCCGCCGCCCCCGCCACGGAGCGGAGCGGGTCGGGCGAGCGGGCGGCCTTGCAAGCAAACCGGCGAGCGGACCCTAACGAGCGGCGGGCGCCTTGCAAGCAAACAAGGGTGAAGGGGCCCTGGGACACACAAATAAATAAACACAAATAACAGGATCCCCTATATTTTCCCCATATTTTCTGAATTGTTGTCTTCCCCCCCACTTCCCATATTTTCCCATATTGTCTGGGGAATCGAAGATTCATTGTGTCTGTGTGTTTTTCCCTCCTGAAAGGGAGCGGACCCTGACTGGCGGGAGGGGCGGGCGGACCCAAACGGGCGGGCCGGCCAGGCGGGACAGTCCAGCGGGCGGGCAGCCGCTCACGCGGGCGGGCAACTTGCAACAGGCCTTGGGAGCAGGACCCTGACGAGCGGGCAGGCCGGGTAGACCCCCGCGGGTCGGGCGGGTTGGCGCCAACGGGCGGATCGGGCGGGCGGACCCCAAAAAACGGGCGGGCAAGCCGGGCGGGACATTCAGTCAGGCGGGCGGGCGGCCGTGCAAAGAAGCGAGCGAGCGGACCATCACGGGCAGGTCGGGCGGGCGGACCCCAGCGGGGACGCGTCGGGCGGGCGGACCCTGACGGGCTGGTCGGGAGGGCGGGCCCCAACGGGCGGAGCGGCGACGTCGAGCGGCGGCGGCAACGACGACGACGACCACCACCACCACCACAAACGGCCAAGACCCAAGACCACGACGGGAGAAACGGACTGAGGCGAGGAAGTCCGGAGCAGAGCTGTCCGGCGGCGAAGCGATCCGGGGCAAAACGGCCCAGGGCGAAGAGTCCGCAAAGAAGCTCCGAAGCCCCCGATACACTTCTAAAGACCACTCTACGGAGGAAGAAGAGGGGAGGAGGAGGAGGAGGAGGAGGAGGAGGAGGAGGAGGAGGAAGAGGAGGAGGCGGAGGCGGTAGGAGGAGGAGAAGGAGGCGGAGGAGGAGGAGGAGGCGGAAGAAGACGACAACGACTCCGACGCCGTCGCCAGCGCCGGCGACGCCAGCGACGCCGGCGGCCTGCATCTGCAGGGTGTCGATGTCGTTCGGGTCCGCCGGGCCCCGCCCGCGGGGGCCGCGCGCGGGGCGCCCTGCCAGCAGCGGCGCCACGCGGGGGGCCCAGGGCGCCCCGAGCGGCCGCCGGAGGCCCGAGCCACGACCCGAGGGCCAGATACTCGACGATAGGGCCGCGCTACGACCCGACGACCAGATCCTCGGCGATCGGCTCGGAGCTCCCGCGGTCTTCTGCGGAGTTTTTTTCTGAGCCTTCCCGAAGGCACAGAGAGCCTCTCACGGGCCGGAGGCGCTCTCAGAAGCCCCAGCCGCCTTCTGAGAGGGCCGTCTCCTTCTCATTTCCCACCCCCGCACGCCGCCGACATGAGGCAGAAGCATCACCTCCCCAAGGGCCGCGCGGATTCCTTGGTGTCGGCGCTGCACCACCGTCCTGGCACGCGCGAGGGGCGCCTCGCGCGAGAGGGGCGGCGCCAGATGGCGCCGCAACGGGGACCCCAAGGCGCCCATTGATGCTTGGTGTGGGAAGGTCACGCTTTCCATCGCAAAACAGTCGGAACCCAAGAAGCCACGGGCACCCTGGAGGCAAGCAGTGTGTATTTTTGCAGTGGGCCCCCACTGTAGAGGCCTCCTAGATGGGGTCGGAGTAGATGGGTCGGAGGATCGCGCCGCATCGCCGATACGTCGCCGATGCATCCGAGACGTCGATGCACGGCGATGCACGGTCGACGTCGGCGATACATCCGAGACGTCGGCGTGGAGAAAATCGGGCCCCACATCGAGCCGCATCGCCGATACATCGGCGATGTGGCGCGATCCTCCGACCCCATCTGCCCCGACCCCATCTAGGAGGCCTAGAGATAGGGGGGGGGGGCCTGACTCCAGATCCACAATAATTTCGGCGACTTCACCAGCAGGGCGAACGGTTCCGCCCTACGCTTTACACTCCTCTGCCGTCGATGTCCGCCCCGCTTTGCCGTCGCCATCTCCGCCACACCTCTGCGCAAATATCCGGTCTGAGGCGAGCA